TCACTCACTTTCACTCACTTTCACTCACTTTCACTCACTTTCACTCACTTTCACTCACTTGCACTCACTTGCACTCACTTGCACTGACTTGCATTTACTTGCACTCACTTGCACTCGCTTTCACACTCTCTCTTTGCACACCCATTTACACTCACTCACTTACTCGCTTGCGCACTGCGGGTTGTTGTCCTTGCCTTTGCCAGCGTTTTGCCCACTCTTAGAGGAATGGGAGGCTCTGCTGACATGCCATTGTCGCCAACTGCAGTAGCTGGTAACTTGGACGGTTTTCTCACTCTCACTCAATCTTACTCAGTCACGCACGCATGCATGTACTCCCTCAGTCCCTCACTCACTCAGTTCACCATGTTACTTCACATCATCGCTCATCGTCCAGCTAATTACACTGATCCGTCGTAATTACTTTTCCTTTCATTTGTGCTTCCATGTGTTATTGAGAAGCACAAAGCATGGGTTGTTTGGTCCTTTAACTTTTGGGAGGGAATGCACGCACTTAGTCCCTCATGTAGGTGCAGGAGCAGCAGATTATTTTTGACTTGAACCCTACCGGCTAGCGACACTGATGACTGGCTGCTGAGGTTTGGTTTGCAGGTTTTGCAGGTGCAGACCTGATGCAACAGCACCTTCAGAATCCACTCACCAGTATGGAGTCAAGAAAGCACCAAATATCCAAACATTTGCCAAGGCTTTTGCCACGGCATCCCCAAGTGCAAGATGGCCCGGCCGCTGGGGAGGGTCATGTTTCGCAACCAGGGCTGAGTCTCATCCATCCTCAACTCAGATGGGCCATCTCCTCACAGCTTTAGAAACGCAACTCTTGAAACTGCCGATGTTGCAGAGGGCAAGTTCCATAGACAAATGTTTGACAAGATCTTTGATACTCCTCAAATTAAATGTATCAAAGATGGTTGTTTTTGATGGTTCATATTCAGAATATTACCGAATTTTCTTTCCTGTTCCTTTGATCGTCTCCACACCATGGAAGGTGACAATCAGTACTTGATGTTTCGTTATGATTAGCCAGTAGTTAACCAGTGTATAATATATATAATAGTCTTGTTAGCTGTTAGCATTCAACCAGTGCAGTAATTGCAGATTCCCCTTCTAGTGCCATCTACTGTGGTGCCATTTGAGTGTACGCCATCATCAGGAGAGTTTACCACACTGCTAACATTGCGAGAAGCCTCCTCCACAGAAATGCGACCACAACAAAGCCCTGGCTGTTCAATTCAGTTTGGTCTGGACGGAAATTTGGCCTTCAGCACTGTGAAGGACCCAGTGGCCAGTTGTGACAATGAAAGATACCGAAAGCAAAGGCGGGCTCCTTTTGAAGATGTATCCTCCCAAACATCGTTGGTGCTTGCAGAGGACTTTGGCGATGGCAAGGCCACCCAGACCGTCGTTACTTGGAATGGTCACCTGGCTGGTGTCTACATGTGTCTACCCGCACTCGAAGTGGCCCACTTGGGGAGGTTTGCAACCACTTGCCGTGTGACCTGCGTGACTTGTCCAAGCCTTCCGATTGCCATGCCGTTGTGAGGTTGCCTCCATTGACGCATCATCCATGACAGAGTTCACACCTGAGGCGTGGCGGTTTTTTCACTGGGACGAACACCTCGCAGGTGTTGGAACCCATGGACTCCTGGTGTTCTCGGAGGTGGTTTTCATGGACGATGTTCTGTTTTTTTCGCGAGCTCCCTGCAGCCTGCAACAGCCCCAACACCCAAACCCGTGCAATTCAAATGCATTAAATAGGAAAGCTGCGCCTCTCAAAATGATCCAAAGGCTGCTCTTGATATGTACCCAGATACCTACCCCATGCACCTGGGCCGAGTGGATTTGGACAACCTCTGGGCCTTGAGGAGTTTTCAGACGCATTCCACTCTTGCAGCACGTCGGTGTGTTTGTTGGAGGGCGGGATGCAGCACGTCGGTGGGTGGAAAACGCCTTGACAAACACCAAACAGTAAGCCTTGACAAGGAATCGAAGAAGCGACACATTGCGTGAAAGTATGATGCTGTGACACATTGTCTTTGCGGTCTATTTGTCATTCATTTTGTGGACAGAACTATGAGCTATCATTATATTGCTATTGCTGGCTAGGCTGCGAGCAATATGATATGGGTGTATGGACGTGCCTTAAACAAGGCACCAGCTTCTTGGAAAACCACAAGTCTTTGTGTTTGGACAGTTGGACCGATAGACTCTAGATAGACACGTTGTTGTCTGTGTGAGAGGCCCAACAAACATCAATTTGATTCGTGTCGCCGATGGAAGCGACATCCACCAGGCCTTGTGGAAGAAGAAGCACCGACAGCAACAAGCCTTCAAGAACCTCAACATCGCAAATCTCAAAGAGGCGTGCGATGCCTTCCTCGGTGAGACACTGGCCGCAGAGACAATGACGCTGTCGAAACAAATGTCCTGAACTCCAAAGGGCTAACATCCTTGTTGGTGGTGTTCACACAAGGCATTATAAACAAAGCACCCATCGACGGCCTATTTGTGCGCAAAATGGTGCAATCATATCGGTTACATATAGCATAGGTACGAAAAAACGGTATCAAGAACAGTCATGGCAAAAAGTCACAGGAATCAGCAATAGGTCATGCATAGGTGCGGCTTACTGTTGGTTGGTTTTAGATGTTATATACTTAGTTTTCTGATTCAAGTTCACTCATGTTCACTGGCGTTTTACAACAATGTTATAGTGTTTGCCTTCAAACGTGGAACTTCCTAAATTTGAATTGCCGATTGATTCTGGTCAATCTGTCTCGTGTCAGCCCCTCTCTTCCTGCTCTCACTGAATGTTGGTTGACCACTCCGACACCGTCGTTCCGCCACGTGCGGCGCGGCTCATAGGACACCGCCCTGGTGGAGTTCTCCTTGAACCCACGGATCCTTCTCCAGGTGAGACCATCTTCACCGGTCGGGGCTGGGGGGTGACGGTGGGGCCAGGTGAAGTGGGGTCTTCTGCTTGGGGACTCTTGAGGCCGCGAAGAAGTGAGGGAACAGTGAAGAACTTCTGGTGACACAGCGAAGCTGCTCATGTTCTTACAGAGATTGACTCAGGGTTGAGAACCCAGCATCCTAAATCCATCCATGATGTCATGGTCTCCTTCAGTGGCTGGGATAATTCAGTGGCTGGGATAAGGAAGACACCGTGCAAAGCGAATAAATTGAATAAAGGATGCTTTGGCCACCCACAACTCCACAAGTCTATAGAGATGATTTATGATCATTTGATAACTGATACTGTCCATAGCATTGTCAAATCTCACCAGAAAGGCGTCATGTCGTTGTATTCTCTCTTCTTTGTGTCGGCACCGTGTCCCTCCACCGTGTCCCTCCACCCTCTCTGCTCACCAGGTGGATTTGCCCTCCGGGCTGTGGATTCAGGCCAAGGGCTGCCATGGGCGGATGCACTGTGGATGCAGTGATGCAGTGGACTGGCAGAGTATAGAGGATACATGGTCATTGAATTATATCTGAGATATGTTTGACTTGGGTCTACTTCGTCTACTTCTGCAAAATAGAGGCCCAGAGTTGGTCCAAGCACCTGTGGTGCAGTGCGCGTGCTGCGCGGCCCCCCGTGCTGCGTTCGAAGCCAACACGGGTTCCCTGGGGGGTGGTGGTGAAGGAAAGCCATCCGACTGTAGCCCTAACAGAAGATGGTTCATGGAGGTATGCTAAAGAATGTGTAGCGGGAAATTTAGGAGTCTTCCGGCTCGGACTCCCTGCTGGTTTTTTGCTCGTGAAGAATCACGGAGTCATCGGAAGCCAGATATGAATCATCCAGTTGGTCTCCACCCAAAATGGGTGTCATCCAGTGAGACCAGGTGTCGTCCAGTGAGACCTCGAGCCTCCCAGTCCTCCACGAGTCTCAGCATTTCTTTCGAGGAGGAGATGGGAGTGAGTGTCACAGTCGGGTCTGGGTGGGTGGGAGACTTGGCAGCCAATGCGCTGGGTGGTACTGGGGCCCTGGGGTTGGAGAAACACCGAAACAGACACACGAGGAGCAACACCTAAACACTCTGGTGGATATGTGTTGGGTTTGTCCGTTCTTACCTGGCAGAGTCAGTCAGCAATTATTACAGTTTTTGAACTAGTCTTTACTAGCCATCATCATCCACGGTTACAGGTATCAAGATAGACCCAAGATGTATAATGTATATATATATATAATATATACTTAAACTTGCTTGTAGGATCTTGTAGGTATTTTTTCGAATGTGTAGCAAAGCATGGGCAGGTGCAGGTACACGCCTGGGGCATATACTGTAGTGGGAAAATAAGTTGCCTGCCTTCCCTTTTTCCCAGGTGGTGCCCTTTGTGTTTTAGCTTGTTTTAGTGGTGTGAACCAATACCGAAAACGGCTGAACACATTTGAAAACTACCCACCAAAGTCAGGCATCTATGCCCTGAATTCCAATTACTCCAGCCAAGACCCCCAGGTCCCCACCACCATTCGGGAGAGAAAAGTATTTTCATGCGGAGGACTCTCTTCGGCGTCGCCAAAAAAGATCCAAGTTGATTTGGCAGCATGTTTTTCAAGGATGGATTGGGCCCAATCAATTGGGGCAGGTTTTTTCGGAAAGGGTTTGTCGTGGGAAGAGCAATTCTTCCCATCGCGTCACGCCTCATGCAAACTGGTGAACATGAGGAAATCCATCCGAAACATCCAAATCCATTCAACATGAACTGGTAAAACCACGTGTCGCTGGTGTTCAAAACTCCAAGACGGCGGCACCGTCTTCGTCTCGATGAGCTCGGAATCGGAAACCGTGGTGGCGGCGTTGTTCGTGGTGATCGAAAGCAACGGCCGCGGAGACAGCGCTTTTGCTCGTTGCTCGTGAGGATTTTGCTGTCTCCAGGTGACTTGGGCCAAGCGAAGGGTGCCTCAGTCTGCACTAGGAAGTCAACATGACCAAGAATCAGGGGCCTGGCGCTCCCAGTGAAGAGAACATGAGAAGTAACATGAGGGCATTTGGTTTGCCAAACTGTTCCATCGACCCTTGTCACGCATCCGCAGGTGCATTTGGGGATCGCACACATCAAGTCGGTCGGCCCAGACGAGAGTCGCTCGCAGACAGAGTGGTCGAGCAGCGGGGAGTTGTGATTGCAAGATGGAGAGAAAGTTTGGAACACCAGAGATCACTTGAGATGCCCTTGAGACCCTTGCACGATTGTGTCGAAATGTTTCGATTATTTGTTATGCAATGTCATGGACATGGATGTGCATCAACGGGATGGTGAGGTGCCAAGCACAGACAACGAAGATTCGTTCGTAGTGGTCAAACATTTATGTGCATGGAAACCTGCCTGCCGGCCGAGGCTCATAGAGTCGTGAGCCAGTAAGTGCTGTGCGCACCAGAGATGGCTAACACCTGATGAATGCCATGAGGTGAACAAGTCATAATCATCATCCTTTCTGAAGCCTCCGAAATTCACTCGGTCGACTCCAACAGAAACAGGAACCACATGAGGTGTCATTATTTCTGGAAATGGGTGTTGTCAATGCTGTGTTGCTGGAGAAGTGTGGACCATGGAACCTAGAAGTACCAAGCGACCTGGTGGTTTTCTCAGCTGCACCCTCATTCAAAAACAGACAAAACAGCATCCACACAAGAAGTTTTTACTGTATGCCTTTCAGGACCCAATATCACCAAACATGATCCACCCTACGCTCTGAAACAGAAGCATGCGCTTCCCAGCAGAACCTGGGCAGACACCACATGACACTCTCATTGACACCACCCAATTGAGATTCCACCAAGAAGTACTGCTTAGTACGGCTGCCAGGGGCCCATCAGGGCGGCACCGGCCAATGCCCTTGAAAGTTGGAGCCAAGTTGGGGGAGTTTCCTCACAAAGGCCGGGTGAGCCCCTCGAGGGAAGAGCACCGCGGGGTGGGAGCACGCGGAGTGAATCGATCGCGGCCGTGTGTGAGGCACCACATTAGGGGCCCTTGACAAGTACAATGTTTGCTAGATGTGTCATTACCATTACTGTGAATGGACGTTTGAGCGTTAAATTCGGACATGAACCTTTGAGCTTTGGCTGCCAAGGAATGCTAAGGATGGACCAAACGACCCGAAGGTTTCAAGGAATTTCCAAGCCCAAGTCTCCTCATCCAAGCAATGGCCACCCCACATCCGACTACCATTCTACTACGTCCTCCACCCCAGCAGCAATGGCCTCCACCACCCTGCTAGTACTGGAGGGTGCTTGGGCTTTTCCTTGCCTTTGCCGACCTTCGGCCGACCTCCAGAGGCTTCGGGGTGAAGGAGCTTCGAGAAGTGCGCTGCAGCGGGAAGGAGCCGAAACGGATGATCTTCAGCCTGCAGGTGCGCCAGACCTGGGCTGCGGAACCTGAGCGTTATCTGGCCGGCACGTTCTGCGGCGGCGGATCTGGCCGGCGGCGATGCAGAGGGACCAGATGGTCTAAGGGACAGAATTGTTGGAAGATCCTGGAGTATGCGAGAGCAGGGTGGAACTGGTGAGTTGCTTCTGGGGGTTTTGGAACCAGACTATTCTAATATTAACGTAAATAATGCTTTTGTGGAGCAGCCGCAACTGCCTTTTTTTCTGTTTTTTATCTTTTTGTTACCTTTCCTCATCGTGCTGGTGAGAGGAAAGGGGGGGTCACCAAATGATATATGAATCAGTGGTCACTCCAAGTTTTGAAGCCTCCAAGAACAGCTGATTGCAAATGTTCGTGCATGCTGCTACGCCGTTGTATAGAGCGCGTAGTGGAATGTGAATCAAACCACTCTTACAATAGCATTGTTGGAATTGCCCCGCACCTTGCACATCGATGCCACCCAGGAAAAAAACCGCAGCTATTTTCTAAAGCCGCGCCGTTTTGACTTAACACTTAACACGGTTGCTCGCCGCCCCCCACGACTGGGGGACTGCCACTTTCTACAAAGTGGCAATCAAAAGACGAACAGTTCTCGAAATCTAACGCTGTTGGGTGACGCATTGCTGGCTAAATTCCGTCGTTTTCTCGCAGGTGGGCCAGCCGCACATCAATGCGCTGGAGACCATGCATGGAGCATTTACGAGACTTGGGCGTTCGGCCTGGATCTTCCCGGTTTGAAGCACAAGGTTTGAAGCTGAGTGAGGATGCAACCTCGACTGGTCGTGGTTTTGCGACAGGAATGAATTCATGACATAGCATGTACAAATCGACCCTGGTTTTTTGGGTATTTGTCCAAGAGACACCTCTGTGGAACACAAGGCACTCTACTCAACCATTGAATCTTTGGCCGGGCAGTGACCAATATTCTGTGAGCACGACTTCTGATACAAACATGGATGGCCCGGCAAAGGACCCTGGGAAGATACTTGCCATGGGAGAATCATTTGTTTTACAAGGAACGGCCTCTTCAGTTTTAGCCTTAATTCCAATTTTTGTGACTCGCCTACTTTTGGATCAGTGATTGATTTTGGAAGCCAACGAAACCTCGGTGGTGATGAGGTGAGGGGGCCGCTTCCGCACGCGATTTTAGGCGTCGTTTCCGAACGTGGTTTTGGGCACCTCGATTGGTTGTCGCCGGTGGCATGTTTCATATAAAACACCCGTTCACTGAAGACATGCCACCGGTTGTTGGCGCTTTGTTCGGCGCCCATCAGGTGAAATCCAGGCACTTTTAGACGGCCTGCGGTGGCAAAGAAGCAGAGTCCATGTTCCTACTCTTAACAGCCTGTGGCCACCCTCTCAACCCGACGAATTAGATTCTCCGGTTCATTAGATTCTTTGGTTGTTGAATCCCCTTTCATCTCCCCGCCAGACACCCATTAGATTGTCCGGTAGTTTCGCTCGCCCCCCCACCCACCCCTTAGATTGCCTGGTGGTTGGGTCCCGGTTCCTGCCGTGTGTTCTAAAGTGACCCTTGAAAGTGTGTTCTGAAATGACCTGGTGAGGACGACTCCACGGTTTCTTTCAGCATCTGTCACACATGATGTATTCATGTCAAGTTCTATAGATGGCTGGTCCAACCAGCTGCCACGTCACGGGCCGGGCCGGGCCGCCCGCATGGGCCGTTCTGGTCGACCTGGCCAGTCTCAGTCTCCCCAAGGATGTTGCTGTTGGATGTCTTGACCACGATCACCATCATGGATTTCAGCCCCAAGCCTACCGTCTCGGTGAACATGGCAGGCGCGGTCGTCCGATGGTGGACGATCTCCGGACCGGCGGGACCGGTCGAGGGAGTGACCGAGAAAGAAGGTGGTGCCAATAATTATGTAATTATTCCAGACAACACTGGTAAAGGGCCCCCCCCCATGCGTTTGATGTTTTGATGTGTTTCTCTTCCAGCAAGCATTTTCTCTTACAGTCAGGGTGTTGATGGAGAAGAGGGATGGGGATCCCCCCACCGAGACTTGCTTTCAGAAAGTTTTGATGTGACATGATGTGATTCTATCAACACGACACGTCCATGATGTGACATGAGGCCATGAAGTTTTGGAGTGTGGAGCAATGTGCTTTGAACATACGGAAGTTGAGAATGAAGAAGAGAGAAACAGGACCTGTGTAAAACTGTTTATGCTTCTTGCGGCTCCTTGAGACCTAAAGCCCTTTGAACCGCACCCACATATGATTTGGCACAGTCTTTGGCACATATCTTATCAACTTAATAAATTGCTGACCTATTCTATACTGTAGAGTCAATACTATGGTGGAGCCTGTACCTTAGCAGAATGGCATCCGCTGGGTGATCCTTAATCTCCCCTCCCAGCAATTGAATCTAACTAAGGGACACTTCCGAGGTGCCGAGAACAAGAAGCTAGTAGAAACAAGTGCATCGCTAGTAGTAACAAGTGCCTTACTAGTAGTAACAAGAACAAGCTTCTTGTTACTACTAGTAAGGCACCTGTTACTACTAGGGATGCACTTGTTTCTACTAGCGTGGCACTTGTTACTACCAGCAAGGGAAACTTCCGAGGTGCCGAGAACAGGCATCCGAGCTCCTCCGAGCACTCCAAATTCCAGCAACTGCCAAAACCTCCGATGAAGGCATCACTACAGTAAAGAAGTAAGTAGAGTGAGGGAAGCCTTCAAAAACCATAAGGCTCTCAAAAAATATGATAAGGTTTCAGTACATGTTGTTAGGTGTGTCCAAACCCTCAGGAAGGATAAGGTTCACAGAAAAACGAAACGATAACGTTGGGAAGAGTGCGCACTACAACACATAAGAGGTTTTGCACGTCGCTCATATCCACAGAGACCGGCCCCGGCCTATCGAGGCCAATATCAAGGCGCTGCCAAGTTGGGTGACGAGCTGTCTCTTGACTGCCGGGTGGAAAAGGCCCGGCCACCCAGTGGCCACCCAGTGTCTCTCTCTCCACGTGTTGAGTGCCCTGGCTTTTCAAGGATGAACACAAATGAACACGCAAAAACATCCTAGTTGGGTAAAGAACTGCATGAGATGTTGATGTTTCTTGTTTCCATATATACTTGTATCATTCCTGTGACGTTTGACCTGTGAGGCTTTAGACTTCATGTGGTAGCAACGTCCACCGCACCTCTTTCGGGCAATCAGTCTGGGGAATTGATGATCCCAACGGCAACCGTGCAAAGCAACCTGATCTTTGAAAGGTTGAGCCTACTCACAATATTGAAGAAATTGGACAATCCCCGGCTGAAAGTTATTATTTATGAGGCTTACGCCTGACAGCCGGGCGCCGGCCTATTTGGGTTTGGGTATGTGCAGGGCTGGGTCCTGTCTCTCTCTCTGTCTCTCTGTCTCTCTCCCTCTCTCTCTCTCTCTCTCTTTCTCTTTGTCTCTCTTTGAGACTTGGTGGGGCCTATATTGAGCAAAGTTAAGCTATCTGGTGCGCATCTTGGCCCTAGGTTGGGCCAAGTTGAGCCCATGTGGTCTTTGTTGGGCACATCTTGGGCCCAAGTTGAGCCTATGTTGGGCCTAGGTCGGCCTATGTTAGGCCTATGTTGGCCTAGGTTGGGCCTATGTTGGGCCTATGTTGGCGTATGTTGGCCCCATGTTGGCATATGTTGACCCTATGTTGAGCCATCTTGGAGGCTATGTTGGATATGTTGGCTATTTTGGGCCTATGTTGGGGAGATGTTAGGCAACTTCTGTGCCCAACACCCACGAAATGTCGATTAAGCCTGTCCGCGCGGCTCGCATAACCGACACCACCGGTGCCCTGTTAGGCGCAAGTCGTGTCCGCCGAAGGCCACGAAACACTGTAAAAAACGATGTTTTCCACATCATGCGCAATCATGCTGGTAGAAAAAATATAAATAAGATAAAAATCTGTCAAAAATCTGTCGACCGGATTCGACCGGGGGTATACCGGGGGTCCAACAAAAGGCAGGGGGCGCGAGCATATATAACCTTCGGTTACCAACCAGGCCTCCGGCAAGGGAACGTGCGCGTGGCCGGCGCCCGAATTTATGACACTTACGCCTGACAGCCGGGCGCCGGCCTATTTGGGTATGTGCAGGGCTGGTTCCCCGCTCTCTCTCTCTCTGTCTCTCTCTCTCTCTCTCTCTCTCTGTCTCTCTCTCTCTCTCTCTTTGAGACTTGGTGGGGCCTATATTGAGCAAAGTTAAGCTATCTGGTGCGCATCTTGGCCCTAGGTTGGGCCAAGTTGCGCCCTTGTGGTCTATGTTGGGCACATCTTGGGCCCAAGTTGAGCCTATGTTGGGCCTAGGTTGGCCTATGTTAGGCCTATGTTGGCCTAGGTTGGGCCTATGTTGGGCCTATGTTGGCGTATGTTGGCCCCATGTTGGCATATGTTGACCCTATGTTGAGCCATCTTGGAGGCTATGTTGGGGATATGTTGGCTATCTTGGGCCTATGTTAGGGATATGTTAGGCAACTTCTGTGCCCAACACCCACGAAATGTCGATTAAGCCTGTCCGCGCGGTACGCATAACCGACACCACCGGCGCCCTGTTAGGCGCAAGTCGTCTCCGCCGAAGGCCACGAAACACTGTAAAAAAACGATGTTTTCCACATCATGCGCAATCATGCTAGTAGATAAAATATAAATGACATAAAAATCTGTCGACCGGATTCGGGCGGGGGTCGGGCGGAGGTCGACCAAAAGGGTCGGCGGCAGGGGGCGCGAGCGTATATAACCTTCGGTTACCAACCGAAGGCCTCCGGCAAGGGAACGTGCGCGTGGCCGGCGCCCGGATTTAAGGGCTACGCCCCCGTGCCGACCCTGGGAAGGTGCAGGGACGCGGGCGAAGCCGGGTAGGTAGAGGCGGAAAGCACGGGGGGGCTCGGCGTGTGGTTCGGTCGCTGTGTCTAGGAGTGGAGAAGGCTGGGACGGGAGCAGGGGTGGTCGTTGTGGTGAAGGGGAGGCAGGGTAGAGAGGGGGAGGGATGTGGAGAGGCGCGAGCGGGAGGAGGAGAAGGGGAGGAGCAGGGGATAGGGCCCAGCGTCTGTTTCGGTCGCTGTGGCGAAGCAGGGGAGGTCGAGGAGGAAAGAACGGGGCGGTGCGAGGAGGCAGGGACGGGAGCAGGGTGGTCGTTGTTGTCGAGGGGAGGCAGGGCAGAGAGGGGGAGGGATATGGAGAGGCGAGCGGGGGGAGGAGAAGGAGAGGAGGAGGGTTGCTACTGTGAATTTGCATGTTTGATTCTTGCTGACTCCCAAGAGAAAGAAAACAGACGCACAGGGTGTCAACGGCTACGTAGAAGACACATGCTGACAGACAGTGAAGTTCTAATATTTCGTGTTTGCCAGTAAAGAAAGAAGGTGTGACGTGAACAGAACCACAACACACACACACATGGCACACATAAGGGCAACTAACATACTGCGGCGAAAGATAGAACGCAGGAAGGCGAAAGGTAGGGTAAATAACTTTATTGTGGCGAAAAGGATCGAGCGCGGAGAAAGGAACTTTGGATGAACTCGCACATGCAACAGTGCACAGAGAAGGTGGAAGCGGGTTGTCTGGATTTTTTTTGAACATAGTGAAAGCAAGTGAAAGTGGCAGAGGGCCAATTTTTTTTTGGCGAGGATTCTTTTTTGAAACACGTGTGACATTGTTAGTCAAGTGAAGGTTTGTCAGGCAGAGAAATGCAAAAAGAGACGTTGAGGCAGTGGACAGGGGAAAGGAAATTTGAGGCAGGGAACGTGTAAAAGTGAACTGGAGGAGGAGGAAATGCGAGGTGTGGCGTGGGTGAATTTTGGGGGCGGTTTTACTGTCAGTCGGTCAGTGGCAGGAAACTGGCGGAATGGAACTGGCGACAGGGGAAATGCGAAACAGGGCACCCGAGCAGTGAACTGGGCAGAGGACACTGGACGCAGGGAATTGGCTCTAGGGACCTTGAGGCAGGGAACTGGAAGCAGGGAAGTGGAAGCGTGGACGCAGGGAACTGGGACCAGGGAATTGGAGGCAGGGAATCGGAAGCAGGGAACTGGAGGCAGGGACCTGGAGACTGGGAACTGGGAAAGCGGGGACAGGGAAAGTGAACTGGAGCAGGGGACTGGCTGAAGGGAACTGGAGGCAGGGAACTGGAGGCAGGGAACTGGACGCAGGGAACTGGCTCCAGGGAACTGGAGGCAGGGACCCGAAGGAAGGAACTGGAGGCAGAGACTGGGAAATGGGAAACCGGGACAGGGAAAGTGGGCAGGGGAGTGGGCAAAGGGAACTGGCACAGGGGTCTGCTGAAGGGAACTGGAGGAAGGGAACTGGACGCAGGGAACAGGCTTGAGGGAACTGGAGGCAGGGACCCGGAAGGAGGGAACTGGAGGCAGGGAACTGGAAGCAGGGAACTGGAGGCAGGGATTGCGCAGTCGAAAGGCATTGCGAACAATTCGAGAGGCACGAATGTACTGCAAATAGCTGAAGCGATATATGTCTCTCACTGTCCACGCACACGCAGGCACAAAACAGAAACAATTGCGCTAATGAGTCTTGCACTAACGAGCCTCGACGGTGGGCCCGGGTGGGCGAGAGTATGATTGTGCATGGTGAGAGGAGCAAAGGAACTAGAGAACTGTAGCGACGTGGGCTCTGGCTGCTGTCCTGACCTGGCGCAGGGTTTTGGGGGTGGCGCAGGGTTTGGGGTGCGGCCAGTCCTAACGTCACTGTCGGAACCAATAACAAACTATCACTCAAGAACAGCTGCCAGGGATTGGGTGCTGCCCCTAGCTCCGGGGCGCTCTCCTGACATGGCTCCTGCTGCTAGCCTGTGGGCTCTGGCTGCTATCCTGACCTGGCGCAGGGTTTGAGGTTGGGACGTGGCCCCCGTGGCCCCTGGCCCTGACCTGGGCTCTGGCTGCTATCCTGTGACATGGCTCCTGCTGGCCCTCTAGCCCTGATGTGGCCCCCCCTGACGTGGGCTTTGGCTGCTGTCCTGACCTCTGGCTGCTATCCTGACCTGGCGTTTGAGGTTAAGGAGCCCCTCACCCTGACCTGGGCTCTGGCAGCTATCTTGTGACATGGCTCCTGCCGCAGGGTTTTGGGGGTGGCGGAGGGTTTGGGGTGCGGCCAGTCCTAACGTCACTTTCGAAACCAATATAAAACTATCAATCAAGAAAACAGCTGCCAGGGATTGGGTGCTGCCCCTAGCTCCGGGCTGCTAGCCCGTGGGCTCTGGCTGCTACCCTGACCTGGCACAGGGTTGGGACGTGGCCCCTGGCCCTGACCTGGGCTCTGGCTGCTATGGGCTCTGGCTGCTGTCCTGACCTCTGGCTGCTATCCTGACCTGGCGCAGGGCAGGGTTTGAGGTGCGGCCAGTCCTTACGCACTTTCGGAACCAAGCTAGCTCCGGGGTGCTATCCTGACATGGTTCCTGCTGCTAGGCCGTGAGCTCTGGCTGCTATCCTGACCTGGCGCAGGGTTTGAGGTTGTAGCGCAAGCATAGTGCAAGCATACCTCCTCTGACGCGCTCCCCCTGCTTCGGCAGGGGTCGGCGGATATATAATATATATGACCTACTCATAGCTTTGGTATCTTAAAATGTTCATTGCCACCCCATGGGTGACGGAATCATGAGCAGGCGTCGCACTCGTCTTGACTCGCACGTATGCTCGCTTGCTTTCCGTCCGAGTCTAGCTGGGCAGCAGAGTCCGCAGTGGACCGAGGCCGGAAAATCCCTGGTCTACACCTCCATGTGCTTCGGCCATAGGGTGCCGCTGGCGACCTTCTCGGTGTGACTGATGAGACCATCTCGGGTCCTGACCGACATCTATATTGCGCGTATACCGAGGAAGAGAGCAACCCACGGAACACAAGTGTGGTGCTTTCCTCGGCAACTTCAAATCTTCTATATTCTATATTGTAATTAGTAATTATTGTACGTAATGAGTTCTGATAGGTGTTGTAGGATATTCCAGGGTTCGTTGGAGCCGGTTTCGTTCTAATTATGGCGTTCTTAAGTGGGCCCAGATGCGCACTGACTTTTCTCAAAGGCCTGTGTCACCTTCGTTACATCATCCTTGCACAGTGTAGTACGGGCGTTTAGCGTTGCAGCAAATGTCTTGGCAACCCGAGGCTTGACAAATCCTTCAAGTTCTACATAGAAGGTTTTTGTTCCTTTGACTTCGGGTCAAATGCACGAAATGAACATACTCATACTTGACATGCCCAACGTGCTCCACAGGCTTCTTGAGCTCGGCCCGAGTGACGTGCAGGGGATACCAAGGCATCAGGTTTGATATGATAAACTGCTACAACATGTTCTTAGGGCCTTTTGGATGTAGAAGTGTATAACATCCTACTGTGACTTGTGAAGCAGCTCCCGAACCAGCCGTCGTCCCATTCTGGGCGGGACAGCGATTACCGAGGACGATCAAGTCGGGTGACAAGACTGTGTGGAAATCTCAGTTGTCCAATGTGCGTCAGTCAACTACTGTTGCAACATATGCAACTACTGTGCAGATCGTTTGCAAGTCAGATGTCAATGTGTAGACTGGTCTAACGGTCTACCACTCTACCTATTTGGTGTTTGCTGATCGAGCAACGGCTGTGAGTCAAAGCGAAAAGTCCCAAAATGGATGGTGAGCGAGGATCAACACCAGTTCCCTTTTGAGGTGTTTGGACCGGAGCTGACCAGTGTTTGTAATCCGGTGGTGTAACCTTGGTTCCTCCGTGAATGAGGAAAGTGGACAGGGACATCATCATGGCATGGCATTTGATGGCATTTGCCACCCCGACAGAACGAAAATAAGAAGATCACACAAAAACATCCTGAATTTGTAGCAGCAGGTGTTTGATTGTGTGTTAAAGGCAAAGAGCATCCCCCTCCAATTGATGCTGTTATTTGGCAAGCATCGCCCGGCAGAGCCTCGCACGTGTCGTACGTACGGCGCACCGATGAAGGAGCAGCAGTAAGAGATAGATGGCCACAATTGCAATTGAATAGCTACAAATCCAATGCGGTCTATTTGATGGCTTCGATAGACCGCTATTAAATCTTGATGAGCCACGAATCAAGCAAAAATTATGCTTTTCAAGCTTGAGTCACGGCAAACACTTTCCAAGACCAGCTTGGCAAAAGGATCACCCATGCTGGAGATTCTTGTAATTTGTGGCTCTATATACAGATGTTCGACTGTCATCACCGCCACGTGTCGCCTGAGATGCTCAGGTTCACTGGCCAACACACCAAAATGTTCCTCGGCGCGAGGCTTTAGCAACGCCAGACATCGGAGAAAAGTGGCCGGTGCCTGTCGCGGGAGGATGTTGCGCATGAGCAGTGGTCCTGGGAGGATCAGTGGAAGAGGATGTTATTTTTTTTGACCTGATCTTTTTTTAATACGCATACTCTTAAAATCTCTTAACATATGTAAAATTGATTCCTAATTTATTAGCTTCGAAAGACTCCAGCCCCAATGCATTTTAATCAAATAGCTTGGTTGTCTTGCTGCGTTCAGTGACCAGTCTCAGATTCCACACCAACACTTGTCCTTCACACGTCCTTTCCACGGCTCCCTCAGGTTCAACCGCTACGTGTTCCTACACCGCTTCTATGTGAGCAACCTGGAAGCGCCTTATGAGGCGCCCGGGGCGCCCATCCAGGGCCACCAGAACCGGGCGCAGATTGGGTGCTCCGTTCATTTGGGAGCGGGTAGTTCATAGAGTTCAACTTCTTTTGACTAGCATCAGCTTGTTACTTCTAGCTTCTTGTTTCTACTAGCTTTATTGTTACTAGTAGTAAGGCACCTGTTACTACTAGCGTGGCACTTGTTACTACTTATATGGATATCCAATGTACTGTCTTGCTGGCACTTTTGTATTATTTTTAAGTTGTCCTGTGTAGAATAGCAGGTCCACCCAGGCTTTCACTGGTGAGAGAGACTGACACTTTTCATGACTTTGGTGCTTTCCATGTGCTTTCCATGTGCTTTCCATGTCCCGATCTGACAGCACCCCGGCAGGTTCTTGGCCTCTCTCCCGAGCTTTGTTTTCACTTCCTGGGCGCCTCAGGACCGACGCCGGACCGGACACGGCGGAGGTCGGCGTCGAAGGTCGGCGTCTTCGTGGGGATTGGGCACGTGAAGACACCGAAGACACGTTTTGAGTGTTGACACGTTTGCAGAATTTGTGAGCAGTCCTAAACCAGTGTCTTGACACATGGTACGTGGTACGTAGTAATTATGCAGTAGTACTAGTATGACTTCTGTGGAGCACACAGGTGGCAACCCAGTAGAGTCAGAACTGCCTGTTGGTTGGTCAACCTACAGGTTTGGGGTTCTTGATTGGTTTTGGAGCAATGCCATTGTGACATGCTTCAACTGTCCATTCTCTTCGACCCTCGGTGTTTTTTCCCCCTTCTCCACTGGAGGCCCTGGTCTCACAACCTTCTGGATTCTCTCCAACAATTCCTGCGCATCTCCTGCGCATGTGAGTAAGAAAGCCTTTCAACCGCCTGCGACAGCCGGCAGACGGTGTTCCTATCCTTCGACTTGACGAAACCAGGAGTGCCGTGGCAGACGGACGTCCAAGAGGGCTGCGAGACCTTGCAGTTCGTCTCAGGCGGGGTTCTTCAGCAGCTTTAGGTACAGGGAAGTTGCGGCAAACCCCATATGGGGCAGTCCTGTGAATGTGGGAATCATGGATGGTCATTATGACCCACCTTGGGGTTTGCGAATCACTTTGGAGAGTTTTCTATTGTTGCCACAAGAGCTGACTACTTCTTTGAATACACTTGCACGGGTGCCTCCAATTGACATTGTGGCTGCTTGATATGACAAAGAATGGACACACCTGGAATATCTCATGGTGTCCATTGCTCGGCTACCGCTTGGACGGAACGAATCAAGAACTAGTCCTGAAGAGTTGACCATGCCAAAGGGCTTGTATATACTTTGAGGGTAATGAAGCACTTCGCGACACCTGGCTGTCACTTGGATTCTCAGGGTGCAAAACGACATCGGATTCTCCAGGTGAAGATGGGACCCTTCGGATCTCCAAAGGATCTCCAAGTTGTTTGAAATTGAGATGATCGATTGACTCTGTTGTGAACAATGAAGTAGCTCGTTCTTGGAGCGTCGTCTTCGGGCTTGGATCGCATGTGAACAAAAACACCTGCCTTGGACTTTGGACTGCGCGCATGTTTGCGGAGGCATGATGCTGAAGGATCAGGCCCCGTTTCTCTTCGCTGTTCGGAGTTGAAACACTTTGATGAGAGGCGTGAGACGTTTTTCGCATGACCGGAATTGCCCTGGGACACCAAGTTGAAGGTAGCTGCCATTAATCACAAGGTATGTTCCAAGAGCGATGGAATCGCTGCCATGACAGATGACGAACTTCCATGAATCTTCCAGATATCGATATCTAGACCTGAGAAGTAGAGGGTGCAACTGATTGAAGCAAAGAAGGACCTTTCTTGCCACCCTGCCAGCGCTCTAAAGCTTGGAGTGAAGACTGTCTCGTTCAGCCTTTCGCTAGACCGCTAAAGAAGATCCTGTAGCCCATAGGGTATCTTCCCTTCAGTTCGCTTCTCACGCGTCCTTTACAACCCACGAGCTTCCTTCCTCCACAGACCTGCAGTAAAAGAACGTCATAATTACATATATGAATACCCATTGGTTGGGGCACTCACTCCTTATTCGGAAGGCGCGCTCAATTTAAAAACGAAACATGTTACATTCATCAAGGTGTTACAGATTTGGACGAAGATTCTCGACTGTCAGGACACACTCATGCTAAGTGTGGGGGTCAGTGACTGTGAATCCTCCTTCGTGTCAGCACCTCAGTCTGAAGACAACGGACCTGAGAGAATGCTGCAGTTCCAAATTGAGTTTTTTCTGCAAAACCATGTGGTTGCAGTACTGGCAGTACTCCTCCTGGATCTTCTCGGTGCGTCCGGTTGTGCATGCGGTTGTGACATGCACAACCGACACCCCCGGTGAACCCCTGTAAGTTCACCTCATAAAGAAGATAGTCACCGGGGTTAACTCCTGCCACGTCGGGAGAGGTGAACTACATGTTCTCCGGTAGCGGTAGCACCAGTAGCGTGTCCAGTTTCTTTGGTCAGACCCACGGAGAATGAGACAATAAAGGCCAAATATATCAACTATCTATCTACAGGCTTGTCGGGCTTGTCAATGCTTGCATACTTGCAGGGACCAGGAATTTGAGGCAGGGTTGTCAGGTTGTATCAAAGCTGCAGGTCCCTCCACTTGGCCACGGTCCTGGAGCTACTCCATCCCCCACAGCCGCCCCAAAAGCTGCCAAAGCATGTGGCCCGGTGGCCCGGCGATTTGCACAAAAGCCAAGCCGATAGAAGTTCCACAGAGTGGCTGGCAAGCCAATGTACCAGATGTGAAAAGATGTGAAAACCAGAACTTTTGGCTTATTAACAAGTGCATGCCGACTAGTAACAAGTGCATCTTCTAGCTACTAGATGCTACTAGTAGTAATGTCCTTGTTGCTAGTAGCGATGCACTTGTTACTAGTACTATTTGGGATTTGTGCCATGCTATAGGCCATCGCTATATTCGGCTGGAGGGCATCACTATTATATTACTGTAGGTTTTTCAGGCCATCACGTCAGTCGGGTGGCAGCGACAGTTGATGAATGTCGGATTTGGGAGGATTCAAAGACGAAACCACCGACCTGGCCGACCAGGCCGCGGCGGGCGCCCGTGCCGACCGCGGCGGCCCAGTGGCGAGCGCCTTGCGGGCCCTGCGACTGCTGCTGGGAGCTCCCAGTGGCCGGTGGACGTTCGTGGAGCGCCTGGCGGAATCCGAAGGGCAGACAGAATCCCCTATTTGGGTATGTCAAGACTTAGACCCAGAGACCATCGGCCACCAAATTCCTGACAGATTGGAGAATTCATGAATCATCCTTTTGGGCCGATGGCCGAAGCAATAAATAAATATCTATAGGGCCAAAGTGCACCTCGATTGACAGGAAGTAGTTGCATAGCTCTATGCAACGACAGGTTGCCACTGAAATCCACCGGCACAAGAGAAAACCAGGCTCGAACATGAGCCACAGCGGCCATGTCAAGAGAAAGGGGAAAGGTTCATCTCCAAAACGCAGCACCCGTTTTGGGCATTTTTGGGCACTTCAGTGTGAGGATTGTTTCAGTTTCATCTCCAAAAAAACACTTGGCAGCTTGGGAAACATCGATGAAACTCAGTAATCCGGTCCACCTAATAAAAAACACGTACCCCCCCCCCCCTAATAAGGAAACCTCGGTCGCATTTTTTCTAATAGGGGGTCCCTGAAATCGGGGGGCCCAAAATAGGGTCACCTGGGAAGAGCTTCAAAACCAAAAAGTAAATCAGTAAAGTTTTATATAAAATCATTTATTAAACTCGTATCAAAAATGCAAAAAAGCTCCAGATCGAAGGGTCTTCCTTTTCCCCTACAAAAACCTTCATTAGAATAGTGATTCTTCAGTAGACTAACAGCTAAAGCTTTCGAAAGGTGATGTCGCTGTGCCATGCGGTGTTGCATGACCTCGGTGGCAAGTGCGTTTGCGTGAGTCCGTGCCATTGGGGGAAGGAAAGCCTGCTGGTGTAAGCGCGGCGTGTCATGGTGGATAGACAGGGCGGACAGAGGTGGGCAGTTACGGTTGTTTTTGGAACCTAATAAAAAAACTCCAAAGTCGGCAATTGGTAGTTTAGTAGCGGCTTGAAAGGGCGGTAATTTAAAAAAATATAAACCGTATTTAGGGGGATCCGGCAGACTTTTTTTTAATAGGGGTCCGTTTTTTAATAGGTACTCGGGATTAGTGTTCGATGGGATTGTTGCAGATGCTTTCCACGCTGCAGACTCCAAACGTCGCCATTGTGGGGGCCAGGAAGGCAATGGCCAAGCCCATGGCGTTGCCTGGAGAAGCAACGCGAAAAGATGTTCCAGAGGCCTGGTTGCTTGTGTGTGCTTTGCAAGGTGTGCATGCTTGTGGGAGCCAGTAAAACATGCATCATCATCATCATCATCATGCATAAATCACTCCCTTTGCATGGCCTCAAATCCACTCCGACATCACTTGAAATACCACACCGAAAAAGAAAGGATGGCATTCAGGATCATTCAGGCAGTCCAGCCAGCCAGGCTGGCTATCTAAAGTGGTATGTTCTTCAGATGTTTGTGTTTTAGACTATATAAGAAATCAAACAAAATCAAACAAGTAACAAGGGGCATTACTACTAGCAACAAGAAACTACTAGTTTAGCTATTTGCTACTCGTAGTAATGCCTGTTACTATGTACTTCTTTTGATGGATCGTTCATGGCCTCTAGGCCTTGCGCGCCCAGCACCGCCTGGAGCACCTTTGGCAGAAGCGCTTGGCGGAGAGGACGGGTTGAGCGACCGGCTGGGAACGAGCGACGAAGTGAGCTGCACATTCCACGGGTTTGGGACGATTTGGTGGTTTGTTGTTGCCTTTTCAGCCTGTGTGCAGGACAAATGGATACAAATGGCATTGTTTGCGAAGTCCCACTGACTCAGTCGTGAAGATGGTTCGAAGAACCCATAGTCTTCATGAAACCTTTTGCTGAAGAGTGTTCCTGACGCATTTTCACATTTCTTATCGAGAGCTTCATTGTCGGGTGACGGGTAATGGTGTGTTGTGAACATGGCCTTCGACTCCAGGAGTCGGGCGTGCCAAGAGGCTGGTGGGAATAGGGCGGAGGTGGGTCCTGCCAAGGCAGACCTGACTTGGACCGTCGGAGTACAGGGCACCCTTTGACATCCTCGGAGCTGTGGACGAATCACGAACGACAAAGCCATGGTGTGACCGAACGAAAACGCTGAAGGCAACCTTTTACGCATCTCGATGCAGTATCAGACCTTGTTCGCCAGAATCCATGAAAGGGTTCCATAGCACGGCCGCCTGCACGAATGCCGTGAGCTCAAGATCTTGTGTCACAGGAGCAAAGGACACACAACCCCTCTCGGATGCACGCCTCAACGAATTCCTGTCACTTCAACAATCCCAGCCCCGCAATGCGAGGCTTAAGACTTGGAGCATGGCTAAAGCTGCCAAAGCAGGTTGCTGCAGCCCCTCAACCGGGAAATTCTAGCTTAAGCCTTTCGGACGTTGGAGGGTTTTTCTTTTGTTTCTCCACTTGTTCCTACCAGGATGTCCCGACAGATCTGAAACCACGCCCCATCGACTCATCATCGCTTCATCGACTTTGTTCACAACCTCAGCCCATCCCGGGCCATCCCGGCCCACCCCAGCCCATTGCAATCTTAAGATAATACTTCTCTCACTCATTGCAGAGACACAAAGAACATCTCAACCTTCCATTGCGTTGACATCCCATGCGGACTTCGTCCCGTCAACGCGGCTCCGGCGCCTCAGCGCTGTCTGCTGCCCTGGCGAAGCGGCCGAGCGGGACGCCGCCGCGGGCGGCGACGCCGCCGCGGACGGGCGTGGCAAGCCAGAGCGCACAGGGAGGCAGAGGGTGGCTAAGGATGGCTGGGGTATAACAGCTATAACACTGTAATTGAAAGAATCATGCTCAGCATGGTGTGTTGAATGATTTTTATATATTTTTATGCTTTAATGTTGGACCTTTGACATTCAGATCCATTCAGGAACTGTCACACACTCTTCTCAACACCAGGCCGCGACGGTCGCGATGCTAGCCCCCGATCAGCGGGCAACGACCAGGCAGCGCGGCAGTCCAAGCTGAAACGAAGCTAGGCTTAAAGATGGAGCCATGGATCGACAGCATCGGGCTAAGGATGCTAAGGGGCTTGCAATCGTTGGAGAACATGGACTCCTTGACCTGGACGGACCTTGAGGGGGAGTGGGTCGTCTTGGCTTTCGCTGCGTGTCATCTTTCAAAAGCAGCTGGACCATAGAACATCCATGCATTTCCATGCGATGTCCCGGGAGCCCAGCATTGCCCAGGTGACACTCCAAGCCTCAAGGAGCTGGGCTATGCGACGAAGACAGCAACCACGACCCACTCGGTCGCCACGGCCGGCGCGGCCGCAGTGGCCATCGCTTCGCCAGAGCATCTCTGGGAGGTTTCCTCGGTGAACTCGGCCTGCTCAACCAAAGGCGCGGGTGGGGGCTTCAAGACAAGTGGAGCGTATCAAAGGGGAGGTTCAATTGAAAAGACACCTTGAAGGGATCTTTGATTCGTTTGTGTTTGTTATTATAAAACAAAAATACAAATCATAATTCATGATTCAAACATCATCAATTCTGGTATCATCAGCTAAGACCATCTCCAATGCACTCCGAACAGCTGCTGGGCACTTCTGAGAAGTTCGTTCGGGTCAACTACCCACTGGGCCCGGGCGTCCCATCGGGCCCGTTGACGGCCCGTTGACCAGTCATGAGACGTAGCCCGATGTAGCCCTCACGGGCTACGCAAGGTTTATGCCCTCACCCGCGAGTGCTTCTTGGTGCGTATCTGGGGTCTTAGAATCCAAGCCTGGTATCAATGTGTGTGTGGTTGTCCCTGCCTCCCTCATGTTCCTCGGTGTGCCCTCGGCGACCCCAGGTGGTTTTGTCAGGCCATTCCGGTAATCAGGTTTCTCGCAAAAGTGGTGTGCGCAAATTAAATGAAGATGCGTGGCACTAGTTTCAACTGCGAATGGTGTGACGATACAGGCTTTTCCAGGCCAAGTCCGGTCAGCATGGTTGTGCTGACTGTGAATTACGCGCATGTCTGGAAGTCTGAGTCTAGTATGACACGGCATTCTTTCTCCGACATCCGTTGCAGCAGATACATAAAGCCTCAGTTGCGCGCCTGGTTGTGGGGCGCTTGTCACCAAGACCCCCCTTGAGATTAAGGAACGCCACGCAGCACGTGGATGTTTCATTTCTTTCTCGGCCCGAGGCTACCGCCACACTCGCGGGTGTTAGCGGGGGCGCTGGGGGCTTATGGGGTGCCCGGTGCCCGCTGGGGCAGTTAGGCCCGTCAAGAGGACGAGGCCCCAATAGGGACACCTCTCGGAAGTTGACCCATGTCATACTGGTGACTCATAAAATATCTGACATGACCGAGTCTTATAGAGCTCCTTTTCGGGTTCTTCTATAGTGGCTTCCAGCCGAGCGGGTCAGGCGGCCGCAAGGCTGCGAACTTGTCCTGCGAGTCGACCCAATCCACGAGCACGGTGGCCACGGTGGCAGAGGAGTTGGCCTGGAGAGCGTGTCAGGAGAGGCGAGTTCCAAAGCAAGAGCCCCACCAGGCTGCCCAGCATACGAAGGTGGAAGTTCGCGGAGACAACGAAAAAGTCACAACTTCTGGTAGAAATAACGACTCAAGAGGTTGAACATGAACCCCTTTGGAAGAATTTGGAAGGTGGTTTTCCCATGTTCAAGCAGAGTGACCTCAAATTGGATTTCAACATATTTCAGCGAATGCTCCTCGGTGGCGGTCTGACGATTCAGGTCGTGAGATCGGGGACGTTTGAAAGGCCTAATGTCCTGGCTGTTATGTCACGTCATGTCCCATGTCCTGATTCCTTTTTGAGGTTTTGACATGTCCGAGTTGCCTCTTTTGCTATCAGACTTGGTGCAGTCAGAGTGGGACACGCAGATCGCGGATGGACTTTCCATGACGATGGACCTGAGAGGAGTGGGAGAAGTGGTCAGAGCAGATCATTTCAGCGGCCTCCAATGACCAGGAGAAGCATGTGCGTCCGAAGTTGGTGTTGTTTTTACGCGTGTGGCTTGTGAGGCACTGTCCACAAGCAACCAATGATTAGATCATATTATATAGATCTGTAGATGATGAGACTAGATGACAATCACACTTACATATCTTTGACATCGAAGTGTTCCTATGTTTACTGGAATTTCGTTGTCCAGGGTGGCATTGGCAACCAACAGCGATGACTGACAACATATTCAACAAGTACATTATTGTAGAATCAGTACATTATACTATATATATATGTATGATATATGTAGCCGCCAGTTCTTACAGGTCGATTTGTCTACCCTGCGCAGGGCAGTGAATGCATCCCAGTATTCAACACCCCACAGAGAACACCCATTCACCATCCTGCACTTGGGCAGGAACTTCCTCGCCCTCCCTTGGATGCCGCCTGTGGTGGCCCCTTGCAGCGGGTCATGGAGGCCTCTGCTCGGGCAGCCGCGGCATTGGCACGTCAAGGTGGCCGGCATTGGCGTTCAACTTTTGGAGTCGTGGTTCTTCATGCTTGTAATATCTTATACATATACATACATCATCATACATCTATACAATTGTGGGGCTGTTTCGAAAACATGGTGCCCCAGATCGAGGGGTTGGCCCTGCAAAGGGCCATTTGGACGCCTGAAACTTGACTTCCCTGGAACTTGCAGGTGCCGCCAGCAAGTTAAAGCTGGAGGAGGTGGAGTGCAGAGAGCAGGAGTGGGAGGCGGAGCTGGAGCGCTCTCGACGCTGAGATGTGAGTTTATTTTGGTTTTCGAATGAGGGCACAAAGACATAAAGACAAAGAAATGCAAAGGGTGATTCAGAGATCAGCAACATATTACTTGATTCACTAGGATTTATTAATGGTTTGCCCTTCTTCTTCTTCCTCCTCTTCTTCTTCTTTTGGGGTCAAAAACAGGGATGTTTCTAGGGGTTCCGGAATCCGGCTCACATGGTTGTTGGCATGCATCACTTGGATTCAAAACCCATTTGTGATGTCCAGGAATGCTTCGGCCATTTCTGGATTCCACCCGAGTTGAGACCCTTTTGCGTTCGGTACTGTACGCATGAATTGCTGACCCTTTTGACACTCATGATTGTGTTTACAATGTTTACATGCCGCCACTCTGAAAACAGATACCTTTTGATGGACCAGGTGCTTCTGATATCTTCTACTCACCTCATCCACCTCACCTGTTTTTCACCCGAGAGATCCAAGGCCAGAGTGCGGCGAAGGCTAATGCAAAGGTGAAGGAGTTGACCAACAGGTGTGGGATGGTGTGGGAGTGCAGCTGTGATGGGATCCCGCCTGAAACCTATGGCATTCCATTGAAGAATGCATTCTTGGGTGAAAACAACTGGCCATGAATCAATGTCCTGACCTATCCTGACCTGGTGAAACTGAATGAAGCTGATTTCAGCATCTAGGTCTCTAGGGATTGCATGGGATTGCATTGATTTACATTGGCGCAAGCAAGCCTCAAGTCTTGGCCCTAAGTACCCTTCGAGTGCGTAATTCCTCCAGGAAATCCTCCCAAAAGAAAGCCCTGAAGCCAGAGCTGCCCAGTCACGCTCGTTGTCGTCCGCAAGACCACGCACCACGCTTACGCTCTCCTGTCTCACAGCGTCGTCAGCGCGCGTCGTCAGCGTCGTCAGCGCCCGTCAGCGCCTCCGGTCAGGTGTGAAGAGCTCTCGGCGGCCTTGGCCGACTGCGAGGAGCTCCGTGCACAGGACGGCGGGGTCGGAGCTCCTCGACCGCGTCGCACGGGTCCCGCGGCGTCCCCGCCGGTTAAAGGCCAAACCAGCGTGGTGGACGAACCGCGGGCCACCGGCGGTGTGAGCGGCAAGCAGGTATAAAGTGTCTGCTGGCTCAACCGCGTTTAAGTGATATAAACCAGCGGTTTTCTGGTCCGTTGAACTCGGCTGGAACTCGAACGCTGCTGGTTGATCGAGGACGTCCGAGTTCTCCGGGTGGTTGGTGGTTGGTGGGTGACGTGCTTTTTGA